CGCTCAGGAGCGAAACTGCGTCTCTTCTGTACCACGGGTTTGCTAGCGGGGTTAACATGGAGTCGGTGGCAGATGATGTTCGGGTCGATGCCAGGCATGTTAGATGGCGACCACGCGAACATGTCTTTGTTGTTTTGGAGGAAGGTGGTCAGCTCCACCTTCTTGTCTAGGCTTAGGTGCAAGCTGAACCGCGCTTTTTTGTCTGGTTGGTCAAGATCGAGGGGTACTAACTCAACATCTTCCTCAGGCTTCCAACCTTCTTCAAGGGAGCCTTCCGGGCGGATGCCCTCATCTGGATTATGGCGCAAGCCAATCTGCGCTTCTTTGTTTGGCCGGCCAGGATCAGGAGGTACTAACTCAACCTCATCCTCAGGCTTCCCACCCTTTTGAGGGGGGTCTTCCGGGCGGATTCTCTCACCTTGATCCTGGCTCCGTAATTGCTATTGTGAGGTAGCAACTCCTTTCCCGTTCGGGCTTGCTTGTCTGCTAGGAGCGTTTCCTGCCTTGTTGGCAACTTGCATTACTGGTGTGAGCTACAGCTGCTTGCTCTTCTTAAGCCCTTGGGCTATGCATCTCCTTGCCATGGCTTGGTCACTGTTGATCTGCCCGATCCCACCACCAAGGATGGGGTAGCGGATCTTCTGGTGATCAACTTGTTGGGTGATCAGCTTGCTTGCTGGCTTTCTTCGCCGCAATACGGTCATCGTCCCAAAGTGCGTAGCGCTCTACCAAGGTTTGGCTTGGAGTTATGGTCAGCTCACAGTATAGCTCGTGTTCGGTTGGCAAGCCCTTCTTGAAAGCTGAGGATGCAACTTGGTCATTGCATCCTATGATGTTCGCCTTCCCAGCCTTAAATCATCTAAGGTAGTCTCGAAGAGTTGCAATTTCATTTTGCTTCTTTTGTTCAACAATCACAACCACTCTTGTTTTAAATTCTGTTTTAGACATAACCTCCTACTTTCTTGAATTTGGTAATCTAAGTACATAACTAGTTTTAACTTCTCAGTCTTCGTGGGTACGACCTCGTACTTGTCTTGCTATACTACTAATTGCCCCGTACAATTGCGAGTTAACATAATATTAACAACAAGACTCGTCTGGTTTCTTGCGCATGTTGAACAAGTGGTCTGCATGCTTTATGACCGTCTTGTAGGAGGTGTAGTCCTTTGTGAAGATGAGGGTGAACTCCTTGAAGTTGCCTATCGACGCGGACGGTAGAGTGTGGAACCAGTCTTGAGCTGCTCATCACAGAGTCATCGCGAACACTTTGCACATCAGGGCGTTGTCTGCCTTGTACAGGATCATGGCGCTCTTGAAGTGCCTCAAATGGCTCTCAGGGTCAGAGTCTCCCTTGAACGGAGTGATGGATGGTGTTGTGAACCGATTTGGCGACGGAGCCTGTTCCACCTCGTTGGTAAAGGGCAAGCAGTCGACTCGATCAATTTCCTTGCGCAGGGCCTCATCCGTGGTTCCTTTAAGTTGGAGACCTTGGAGTCGGTCATTTACTAGCTTCTCGACATCTTCTGCCCGCAAGCCTAGTGGCTAGGGTGGATGTCCTCGTTGCCTGGAGCACGGCTGGCTAACTTCTTCCTCAGCTTCCAAGGGTCGATCCCCTTGGTTGCCCTGCCTGTGGGGCAAATTAGGGTGGATGCCGTGGTTGCCTGGAGCACGGCTGGCTAACTTCTTCCTCAGCTTCCAAGGGTCGATCCCCTTGGTTGCCCTGCCTGTGGGGCAAATTAGGAGATTGAGCTTGTGAGAATTCCTCTACGACTTGCCGCCATGTGTTGGTCCTCGAGTGGGCTAGTAGGTGTTGATCGTTGCGCTCGCCACGCAATTGTTCACGAACTCGAGCTTCTTGTGGTTCCAGCCTAGATTGGATACTTCTTCGTAGGCCCAAGCGAGCGTGGACATCGGACTGTGGGCCCAACCTCTCGTGCACATTGGTCCTTGGACCTAACCTCGAATGGCTCAGAGTACGACTTGCTGCTGTCTGTGTCTCATCCGCACGATCTCGTTCTCTCCCCTGCCCATTTGCTCCTGTCTGACCAGCCTAGGACCTTTCGAACTACTCGCCGACATGCTCGTGTGTCCTCCTCTCCTCATCACAGGGTCCAAGGTTAGAGCATCCACAATGGGGGGGTGTAAATTCGGGGGTGTAAAGCCACTTTTACATCCCCTTTACACCTCCGGGGGGTGTAAATATGTTTTTTGCTCCAGTGGGGGGGTGTAAATTCGGGGGTGTAACCGTGGGTCCCAGCCTTTTATGTTGACTTTTCTTCATTTTTGTTCTCTTTTCTCGGGTGGGTCCCGCCTGCAAGGGATGTAAAAATGGATGTAAATATACATTTTATTTTACATCCCCATGGTGGTGATGTATATTTATATACATTTACATCTCACCATTGGAGACGATTCCGATGACTCGGGGTGTATATTTAACATACATCCCCATATACACCCCCCCACTGTGGATGCTCTTAGGGCCTTGATTCAAGTTGATTTGCCTAAGTAGCTGGCCAATCAAGTTGTTTTGATCGTGGAACCTCTATGTGAGTTTATCAACCCATGAGTTAAGGTCCACCTGACTGCGCAGGTCGAGTAGAGTGGTGTGCATTGGGCCCAACGGCATATGGGCTAGGGCTCCATTAGATGTGTACACACGTGCATACATCAAGTGTGGTTGCAGAGGAGGGAGGAATGGATCTGCTCCAAGACTGGGACGACGTCAAAGTAGCCGTGGGGCTATGCAGCAATTCCGGCAGCTGAGTGGTACAGCTGCTGCTGTGCTCCGATGGCAGGATGGCACGGCAGAGCAGCTCCGGCAAGATGGCATGGCAGAGCGGCTCCGACAGGATGGCACGGTAGAGCAGCTTCGGCGATCGGCGCTTGAGGCTGTAAGGCTGTGGAGGTCACAAGGTCATGTGGTGGCTATTTTGCAATTCCAATAGCTGTCTGCAACGGTTGCTCTGCAATTCCAGCAACTGAAGGTGGCTACAAAGCACTAGGAGACGGCTGCAAGGTGTTGGCAGCCACGATTCCGTGCAGTTGCATTGAGGTTTCCACCACGAAACCATGAGACGAGCCCGCCGTGGTGGTGTTACTCTTCGTGTGTCTTGTATCAACCATGGTTGTTTGAAAAAAGGTGTGGAAAATGGATTTAGAGCACGCTTTGAGTATAATTTCGCGCTCTCAATGAAAGCACCAATTTGTGGGAGCGATTTTCGTCCCATAAGAATTTTCCCTTAAGATTCTTTCATCTTCTTCGCTTATCTTTCTCCTTGCAAAACAATATGGAGTGAGAGGACCACACCCGGGGGTGTTGGCCAAAGGCCCTCCGATGCCTAAGTTAGGTTGGGTGTTTGAAGGAAAACCGGGTGGCCGTAGCCTTGTGTGAGGGAGAATGGGTTTTGGTGGCTAGGGTTTGTGAGAGAGAATTTCTGCAGAGTTTTAGTAGGAATTTAGACGTACCTCAACCCTTGTGCGTAGCCAAGTATTTATAGGGGCCTCGGAGGCTAGGGTTTCAGAGGAATAATTCCGTAGATGGAAAAGAATTATTCCTCCCCAATTTGGCAAGATTTGATTAATTAGGGATTTGATTTATTTGATTTAAATCAAATCCCTAATTGTGGTAGGAATCACATCAATCCCAATTTAATTAGGTAACTCCCAATTAGGTCAAATAATCTTCAAATGGAAAGAATTATTTGACCTAGGATTTTGATTTAATTCAGTTCCCACAGGTATCAAGAACATCTGGATTTCATGAAGAAAAGAATGGAGAGGGCTGCAAAAGGAGAGCTGGTCACATTGACTTTTTCTAATGTATGCAGGTTTCCTGTGTACGATGCAGATTTTGGTTGGGGAAGGCCTACATGGGTGAGCATGACTGCTATGCGTGTCAATAATCAAATAGTCTTCATGGACACCAGAAATGGTGATGGAATTGAGTCTTATTTTAGCTTGAAAGAGGAAGACATGGCCAAGTTCGAACATAACAAAGAGTTCATGGCGTTGCTTAGCTCCCCAATTGGTAATGTCAAGGAAAATCCACTTGCACGTCTTTAAATTGAATGAGAATTAGCATCATCGTGTGTTTGCTGGTCTAGAATTTATTTGCAGAACCAAATCATGAAAAGAAAAAAAAGTTTCTCATAATAATTGAGCATCCTAAATAAACTTGAGCTCTCATCATGTGTTTGCATATATATAGTCTTAGATTAGCATTACGATTTTGTTTTCGAAACCCACAAGAAGAAACAAAGAACTTATCCATACATAATAAGTTGGTCATCCAGTTTTGAAGACACTTGGGTTCAAAGATGCATAAGCAAGCAGCTCTTGGTCACACTCAAACACTTTCATGTCTTCTTCTGTCAATCTCACCAAACACTCTATTCCATCACCATCTTTAGTATCTAAGAAAATTACCATATTCTTGCATGTTGGGTTAGCTGAAGTCACCCACATTGGCTTTCCCCACCCAAAATCTGCTGCTTCATATACCTGAAACCTGCACCAACTGGTGCACGCATAGAAGTCCACGTCATCCCTACACAACAAGCCTATAGCCTCTATCTGAGGCTGCAAAATTACTGAAATGTCCTCAAACAGTGGAACCCTTTTTGCATTCTTGCAAAATTGCAGAATCCCTTTCCTCAATTCAGCAACCAACCCATGTAGCGACGTCTCAGCGTCCGATGTTCTAGCAATGAAGGACCCAACAAAGTTCCCAATAGACTCATTAGGCACAGGGGGCAAAACTCTGCTTCTAATGTTCACATTTTGGTACAACGCTGATGGCCTAGTTGAAATCCCCAAATTGGCCCTTGAGGCCTTCATTGCACATTTCCAAATCAGGGCAGCTAAAGTTTCCACCTTTGTAGGATGTTCAACTTCAGCACTCACAGAATTATTAGTAACCTTAGCTTTAAGAGCAGCAATCTTTGAGGAATGAAATACAAACCTCTTTGTCACAGACTTGTGCTGTTTGATCTCAACAGCTGGCGGGGCTATCGAGATGTCTTTCAGTGGCATCATTGACACTGCATTGAACAGAGGAACTACCACACTCTCATCACCAATTCCAGAAGCAGTGGCAGCCCAGGTTTTGATGAATGTGGTCAATGTGGCTGCATCAGCTATCTTGTGGGAAAGGCATATGCCAATAGCCATTGCACCACACTTAAAGTAGTTGGCTTGAACATGCAGAACACATCCCCTGCCTTCTTCTTGGGACTCAAAGTTGACAGGCAGCAATTGTTTTAGCACCTCATGGTCAGGTTCATTGAGAATGTGTGAAAGTAGGCAGCTGACTCGAGCTTCAATGAAGCATGCCCCATTGTCATTGCATTCGATAAAGGCGTTGTCTTTGATTGTTCCAGCAAATGGATAGAAGCGAGTTAGAGTTTCCGATAGTGATTTCTTTAGCTGCCGGGCTCTGTGATGATCACTTGTGGGATAGAAGAGCAGCAGTGGAATGTAAGTGGGGGGAACCATTTGATCCAAAAGGGAAAGCTTGAAGGTTTTCAAGTGAGCGGGGGTTGGAGAGGAGGGTTTGATGTTGTCTCTAGCAATAATACCAATCTCCATAGCTGTTGTCATTTTGTCCCTGCCCTTAGTGTTCATAGGTTGATAATTTCAACCCAGTTTGAAGAATTGTTCAGCTTACCCCACTTTGGATGCTTATAAAGAAAAGAAATGGTGCTGACAATGGAGCACAAAACTCGACAAATTAAAGCCTTTTGAAGTGGGGTTTGTTAATGCATGCAAAGGTTGTGATGTTGGTTTTGTTAAATTAAAATAGGGCTAACAACAAATACCCCCTATAAGTTTGGGGGCAATATTGAAATTGACCCCCAAAAAAAAAACAGAGACTGGATGCAGAAAAATAAGAGAAAACAATGCAAGGTTTAATGAGGTTAGGCAATTACCCTACGTCCCGGTAGAGTCAGATATTTTCACCCCAAAATCTGAGGGCAATATAATGATAACTCCCCATGAATCATGATAGGTTCTGGTAGTTAGACGAGACCTAAAGATGACAACTGGAAAAATTGCATCTCATTGTGCTCCAGACTTGGGCTACAGTGCAGTTGAGTTCGAAACGGATTCTCTTAAAACTGCAATGGCAGTTTCAAAAGGGGGTTCTGAATTCTAATAGGTCCTTGCTGGGGGGTACTTTATGGGGGTTGCTGGGAGGTTCTGTCGCATTTCAAAAGGGGGTTCATTGCAAGGCCTTGCAATGAGGTTGCTATAATAGATTGGCACGTTATGCTTTGAGTAATGGGCAAGAGTGCATTTGGTTTAAACCTTCAATGAATTTCGTCTTTCTCAGAAGAAATAAAAACAAAAAAGTACCACAGATTCTATAATGTTATCTAGCATCCGTTGTGGTGATAACTTCCCTCAACAAAGGTTCTTGATTTCTTTTGCTGAATAATTTGATGAGCGCTCATATTTTGTTTTGGAGGGGGGGCGTGAGATGGAAGAAGAAGATAAAAACTGACGTTAAGTTGTAGTAGCCAATTTTTCCAATTTTCCACCACTTGTCTAACTCAAAGTTTTTCTTCTATAGACAAAACTAGCAAAATGTGCCCGCCAAATGCTGCGGGTTTTAAAATTGTGTGAAATGTGTCCCATTGAACCACATACAAAGAGAAAGACACCATAGTTTTCCCTCCAATCAATTACGCATTCTCACTCTCTCCCCACGCTGGGAGTTCTCAAGTACCCAATTGCCAAAACACTCAAAGGATTCACCAACATACTCAGATAATGTAATCATCTAAACCTATCATTACAACAACAAATTAACACGAACCAATTGTCAATTGATGCCATTAGCTAATTCCTATGCTCTATTCACAAAACTTAAAACAATTAATTGGAATTTCAGCCTAGAAACTCACCTCTTGCTTAATAGAACTGAAAATACCAACAAAACTGCTCTATCCAAAGCAACAAAAGACCATCTGCAAAATATCAAAAGAAAACATGGTTTAAAAATAAAAAAATAAAAAGGAAGAAAAAACAGAAAAATCGGAGAAGAAATTAGCTTGAGTATTTTATACATGCACAATCTTTCATTAAACCAAAAAATTAGCTTGAGCAAAATCTGTACAGAAAGAAACCACTCAAGACTACCCAAATTAATGTGTTTTGGGTAAAGAAAAACACTGTAAAGGCACAGGAAGAGGGCTGTTTAAATGATCCTAGATGCATTTGAAACAAAGAGTATTCGATCAAAAGTTACTGGCCTAAACAATCAAAAGTTACCTATACAAAAGTCACCCTAAGCAATCAAAATCTCAAAACAACTATCTCTGCATTGTCGTTGTCATCAGAGATTTGAAAATTCTCTCACATAACCTTACACCACCAAAAACGCAGAATCAGTGCTAAACTCAAAGAATAAACACGTTGACTATAAAGGAACGGAACGTCAGTGTAGCCTTAAAGCTCGCAACTTGCCTGTATAGATGTGAAATAGATGTAGATACTTGACTAAGGACAGGTGCAATTACCCTTAGAAATCAAGACCTTTCGTTGGAATTTTTTGATCCCATTGTTATGTTTTTTTTTCTTCTTCCTGTTTTGCATTCTCCCACAACATCCAGTAACCAGAGAGAAAAAAAAGTGATCTACAGTTATTTTATTGGTGACTGTAAGCTAAAACATGCATTTAATCCTTAACGATCTGCGGTATGTTATTAATCTCATATCTTGAAATGTTAACAGTATCACTACTACAAAATAGTTAAATAACAACACAAAATAGACGATGGTGCATCTTAAAACCGTCGTTATGTTTTAAAAGACGACGGTATTTTTAAAATTTTAGATCACGCTAAGGGCTTGACACGAATTCCATGCCCCAATTAGCATGATCAAGAGCATTAATTAAGAGAAGAACAGTATTGCCACTACTACAAAATAGTTAACCCACGACACAAAGTAGACGACGGTGCATCTTAAAACCGTCGTTATGTTTTAAAAGACGACGGTGTTTTTAAAACCGTCATGATATATCATCTTATACACTACTAGCATTAGATTATTTTTAAAAGACAACGCTTGTCACTAACAAGCGTCGTCTTTTAAAACACGCTGAACAAAAAAAAGGTCACTTGATTTTTAAAAGACGATGCTTGTTAGTGACAAGCATCGTCTTTTAAAAATCAAGTGGCTTTTTTTTTGTAAAGACAACGATTTTTTTTGAAAGAACTGTCGTCTATTATATGTAAAGATGACCCTTTTTTTTTAAAGAACCGTCGTCTATTATATGTAAAGAACTGTCGTCTATTATATGTAAAGACGACGGTTTTTAAAAAAAAGGGTCGTCTATTATATGTAAAGACGACGGTTGTTTTTAAAAAGCATCGTCTTTTAAAACACGCTAAAAAAAAGGCCGCTTAAGTGAATTCACGCTCGACAAATTTTCAAATTTTCCCCAGTCTTTGAAAACCTTATCTCTCATTAACAAGCGTCGTCTTTTAAAACACGCTAAAAAAAGGCCGCTTAAGTGAATTCGCGCTCTACAAATTTTCAGATTTTCCCCCGTCTTTAAAAACCTTATCTCTTCCTCCTTGAAACCCTCCTGAGCTTTCTAAAATACCCTCATGAAAGGTTTGATTTGGAAGTCACCTAATCTCTCAATACCCTTCTATATCTTGCTAGTGAATTCTGGATTAGTCTCTTTGCGTTTCTGGTATGTTCTTTGTCTCCCTGATTTTAGATTTTCTGTCTCTCTTGATTTGTCTGGTTTGTTTACATATTTTTTTTATTTCCAGTTTCTTTTTAGATTTTCTGATTTGGTTCTCAGGAGATGAGGAGGAAGCTTGCAGATTTATAACTTTTTCTTTTGCAGGTTTTCTATGTGAGTCGTATGTTTTTTTGTTGTTGAAAATTTGTTACCTTCTCTTTTCACCATCATTTTATTTATATATTTTTCCTTTTGCAGGTTCTCGATGGTCTTTTTTATGCTCATTTTACAAGTTTTCTATAAAAATATGGTCCAATGGTAAAATTTCTCTTCCACCTAATTTTATATGTTTATAATCTTAGCTTTTTTTTACAGGGATGATGAAGGAGACTTCAGTTGTGCATCATTTGTATGTTTGGATGAGGAAGGCTTGGATTAGGAGTACGTAGGTCTTATTAGGAAAAGATTGTACTACTTAATTGGTAGGAATTATGTTTGTTGTAGAATAAAGATTGGTTAACTATGTAA